AACTAAGTGGAGGAGGGTGGGAGCAGAGGGGTGAGAACAAGCAGGGGAGGAGTCACACAATTTGATGAGTGGAAGGAATGGTGGTTTAAGGAAATGAAAAAGATTTGGTGTGAAGAACTCTTGTAAGTATAAAAACCAGTATTAAAAGAAATGCAATAGAAGCGTGTTTTGTTTTGGTTTTTTAAAAATATTTCAGGAAGCTCTGGTGGCCCAGTGGCAAGAAGCTGCACCGCAATCCCAGAGGCACACGGTTCAAATCCATCAGATGCTCTGCTGGAGAAGGAAGGACAATTTCCTCCTGTACCAGTCAGATCCAATTTGATGGTTGTTGTTTGATGCCGTCCAGTTGTAGACGACTCATAGCGACCCTGTTCGTACATAGAGTTTCCGGAGGCAAGCCATTTCTGAAGTGATTGCCGCTCCTGCTTCCAGGCTTGATTTAGTCGGGAAGCTCCAGCCAACACTGTCCACCATGGGTACCCATTACCACGATTGGCACATCACTGTTACAGTCTTCAGCATCACAGCAACCACAAGTTACCTCTGTACAGCAAAGCACAGACCAGTGCTATACCACCTGCACATCAAACACATTCCCAGAAAAGCAGCCGACTCCAAAAGCTTGCCACGATTCCTGCCAATTTGATGGTACACGCAAAAAAAACAAAAAAAAAAAAAAGCAAACAAACAAAAAACCCCCACATTTTTAAAAAGATATTTTAATAAAAAAATACACTAACATAAAAAAAGTATAAAGAATAGTTGTATGAAACACAAAGTAAACAAAAGATTGAATAAAATAAACAAGGACAAAAACCACAAGTGAAGACATTTATCACCTGCTTTTTTTGCTATCAGTGCCATTTCAGTCCTTATTCCTTACACAAAATAATAGCTCTTTTCTCTTATTACAATAAACCCAGCTTGCTATCTGTTTTCAACTCTAGACAGGACAAGGACTTTACCACCACTTCATAAAATTAAAAACATATTATTTGGATTTTACACTAGAGTTTATGTTATACTATACAACTTAATGCATTTCTATCTAGACACTTAATGTCTTTTATCTTCAAAAAACAAGCTAGTGCAACCAAAACACACTATCAAAAGAAGAATCCTATCTACCTTGGGAGAAATGCAGCCAGAGAACTCTTTAGAAGCAATGATGGTATAATTTTGTCACAGATACTTGGCATGTTATTAGGAGGGACAAGTCTTTGGAGAAAGAAATAATGCTTGGAAAGATAGAGGGGCTGAAAGATAGGGATGGAGACAGAAGCATCTGTAGGGTGAGCAATGGTTTTTTTTAGTGTGCGGTGGTGTGACAGTTTCCATAATAAACTCAGGTGTGATTTGGCTTTGGTCATTGCTTCTGCAAGTTTGGTCTCTGGTGAAACTAGAGATAGTATGATTCACCACAGAACAAACTTTTCTGTCTAACCACAATCAGCTTTTTAAATTTTATTTTATTTTATTTATTTATTTACTTGTGTACTGTTACATCAGATCCAACTAGCACAGGACAAAGTTGTCCCTCCTTCACCAGTGGAACATCTGGTGATTTGAACCACATACCATCGGTACTGCAGTGCAGCTTTTTGCCACTAGGCCACCAGAGCTCCAACACAATCAGCTTTTAGTACCTACAACCAAAACTACTGACTAATCCTCTAGTTGTGTATTCTTGAGAAAGTTGCTTATTAACCTTTCTAGACTTCAGTTTTTATAAAATGAGGATTAGAGTTCCTATTCTCATAGGGTTGTTGTGAGAATTAGGTAACATAAAACATTTAGCTTAATACCTGAAAATGCAACAAATGCTGTGGTTGTTATGCGCCATTGAGTCGCTTGCAACTCATAGCGATCCTATGTACAACAGCCCTAAACTCTCCTCTGTCCTGTGCCAATTGCACCCATCCCGATTACCCCAGTCACTGAACCAATCCATCTCATAGAGGGCTTTCCCCTCCTGTGCTGTCCCTCCACCCTCCCAAGCATGATGTCCCTCTCCAAGGACCGGTCCCTCCTTACAGCATGTCCAAAGTATGTCAGATGAAGCCTCAGAATCCTTGCCTCCAAGGAGCAGCCCAGTTTAACCCTCTCCAGGATCAATCTGTTTGTTATGGTACACTCAATATTCTTCTCTAGAATCATAGCTCAAAGGCATCAATTTTCCTTCTATCCTCCCTAGTCATTGTCCAACTTTCTGACGCATAACAAGTGATTGCAAAGACCATGGCCTGTATCAGATGCACATTAGTCTCCAGAGAGACACCATTGCTCTTCAGTACTTTGGAGAGGTCCCCAACAGCAGACTTTCCCATCGCAATACATCTTTTAATTTCCTGGCTGCTGATGCCAAGAGTGTTGACTGTAGAGCCAAGCAAACTAAAGCTGTGAACAATCTCAATCTCTTCATCATCCATCCTGTCAAACTTACCCAGAATTCCCCCTTGTGGCTTCTGACTTTCCCGCCATAGTAACCAGGCCAATGCCTGCTTCTGGTGCAGAAGCAAAGGAACCTAACAAAGGTAATAACCAAATGTTAAGAATAAATTTTCTGACAAGAATCTATGCTGTATCCTAGCTACATGGACTCTATTCTCTATCTATTTACGCTTATTTTTCTTTTATAAACAGTCCCTCAATATTCTAGTTGTCGACATATAAGCAGCCCATTTCTCCCTGGACCCTACCTTCTCTTTTACCAAGAATAGTTAAGGGTTATTACTCTTAAGACTTCCCTCTTTCACTCTCAAGTGTTCTGGTTTGTCTAATTAGTCAGTCCATTTTCCACTACTTGTAACCAAGACTTCTGACTGGCCACCTATATTATCCCTTAAATTAAAATATTTTCTCTACAGTCACCATCTAATCCACATTGCTAGTCACAATTTTCATCTGGAGTCTCCCTTTCTAGTGCTTTCTTATTCTTGTTTATCTTGGACTCTGACAAAAGTACATCCCTTCTCCATTATTTACAGGGATTCCATAACATCTCTTGCCATCTAGGACCAGGTTCTACAGGAGGTGAGCCTATCTATTCAGTAACACTGCCTGCTACTCCCAACTATGATGACACCTGATCTTCATTTATTAACTCCAATCTCTGTATCTTCCTTCTCATCACCACTCTTTCTGATTGGAGAGCTTTGTTTCTATCTTCTCTAGTATTATTAGGTTTGCAATGCCTTTAAGGCCTGAAGGAGGCAGGTAAAAAAATAGTGAACTCAAGTGACTCTTCTGTACAATCTTTGCATGTTGCATATGGTCTGTAATACATCGTTATACATTTCATTATCTTAAAGTAATGTTTTCCCTATGTTGTACATGCACATTTACCTCGACCAGTTCATTAGGGGCAGCCAATGCACCTACTAAAATTCAATAAATAAGTTAAAACTCTACGGCTTATCATTTTTAAAAAATACAATAAAACAACAGTACTTTAAGGGAAACCAATGAAATGTTAGTCTGGAAAAGATATGAGTGAATGGCATACTTCAGTGGTCTCTTTTCCCTGGTGCTGGGTCAACTGCTACAGAACACTGATCTCAGTCTTCCGAGGCTCACCTTCAACCCTGGAGGATCTTCTGCCACTGCTGTCTCATTAGGACATGACTCAAATGATCGATGCAATTCATCAATGGCTTCACTTATGATTTTCCACCCAGCATGAAGGCGATCTTGACCTGTATGACCTGCATGCAAACATGTTAAATAAAGTTGTCACAAAAATCAGGTCCTGAAAACAACAAATGCTGGCGAGGTTATGGAGGAACTGAAACCCTTATTCACTGTTTGTGGGAGTGTAAAATGGTGCAACGACTATGGAAGGCTGTATGACGTTTTCTCAAAAAGTTGAAAATAGAAATACCATTTGACCCAGCAATTCCACTACTGGGAATATCCCCTAAAGAAACCATAACTGCCACCCAAGCAGATATATGCACACCCATGTTTATAGTAGCTTTGTTCACAACAGCAAGGAGTTGGAAACAACCCAAGTACCCATCAACAAATGAATGGATAGAGAAGCTGTGGTATATTCACACATAGAATACTATGCTGCATTGAAAAACAAGGAACTCATGAATTATTATACAAAATAGGTGACCCTGGAGGACATTATACTGAGTGAAATATCAGTCACAAAAGGTAAAATACTGTACAGTGCTAACTTGTAAAATGGGACTGACATCGGGGTTGGGGGATCCTAAAAAAAGAGGGAATAAATAATGTATACTGCATTAAAACACACGAGGGGGAGAAACTGTTTAAAAGGAATATAGGATTAGTTATTATTTTCATGACAAGATTCCAGGAAAAGAAATGCAGAGTAAAGTGGACTGTGGACTAGGGGAGGGAGGTATGGGGGATTGTATAACAATGAGAAAAAAAATTTTTTTTTCTTTTCAAAGAGAAAAGCAAACTGGGGGGTGGGGGGTGGGCAGAGAGGAAAATGTGCAACAATGAATGAATGAGAAAAAAAATTAAATGGAAAGAATATGCTGTAAATAAAATAAAATAATTTAAAAAAGAATTAGGTCCTGGGGAAAGTTACAAAAAGGCAATCAGAACCATGCATGGATCAAAAGTTCTCGCTTCTAGAAACACCTATTCACATAGGCTTCTCCATCCCCTTATATTTTTATTTAAATTACAAAAACAACTGTTCTAAGAAAAGATAAAGCAACAGAAAGTATAATTTAAAAAACATAATCTCAGATATATTTAACTTTTCTTTTTACTCCAGCTTTGAAGTTGCAAATAAAAAAGTAACTCTATCAATATTTAGGAAGAAAAGATCCCTGGAGCTTGATGAAAAGAAATCAACACTAAAAAGGCCAAGCTAAGTAGAAGTTTCAATACACTGGGAGAGACAATTCCTAAAAGTACATGCCATGAGGTGACCTCCCACTGTACTGGCAAACATATCAATACTTTTAGCCCATTCGTTCCACATGGAGAATATTTAGAAAAATTAATTAGCAAATACAAAAATGTCAGGTATTTGCAACTTGATGGATGAAAATGCCCACATAAAAGATTTTTAAATATGTACAATTATGTAAACATTAAACAGTATTTAAATAGAAATAAAACCACAAAACATTTTTATGAAATGCTTTCTAAAGTAGATGGTTTATGTCATATTTTAATAATTAAATCTAATGTCTTTTCACTTTTTCTAGGTGGCTGTCATCACTCTGATTACCAAAAACTGCTGTAATTGAGCCATGTGAGAAAGTCCAAGCAGCCACGACAATGCTTCTTTAATAAGCATGCTTTCTCTTTCCTTTTAGGGTGACGTTAGCTTCCACTAGCACTGTGCCTATTTCCTAAGCTTCCTGTTAAATATTGTTCAACTTCCTTTCCCATCTTCCTCTTCTCACGGCTTTCTTTCTCCCCTTTGCCATTGCTATAATTCTTGCAGTTCTTGCTTGAAAAAAGTGGAGGAAGGCTCTCAAGAGGAACGGACCCAGTGATTGCAAAAATGGACTTGTGTGTGTCAGAGATGGTGTGGGTGGCACAGGACAGGGCAAGGTTTTCATATCTTATTGGTATGAGTTGCAGTCAACTCAAAAGCACCTAATAATACAACAGCAGTTCTCTGCTGGGAGAAAGATGACTTTCACTTTATGGTCTCTGCTTGTCAACCTGAGTTTCTATTCTCAGATTAGCAACTGATTATCTTACACTTTTAAAACAACTTAGGATCTTTATTCTGCAGATAGTTCTACACTTCTGGAAGGTTCCAGATGGTAGCACTCAGTTAACCAGGTGACTTAATTACTGCTCCTTGTGGGCTTATTAGTTATTGATCCTTACTCATGTCACTTCTCTGCTCTGCCTTAAACATACATACTCAAGAAAGAATACGAATATCTCCTCCTCTACTTAAAATAATGCAGGTTAAATTTTCACTCACAAGCATTAACTAGACAGCTAGGTAGTAGGCTGGCTGACCAGGATCAAGATGAAAATAAGACAGTCTCTGCCTTCATAGATGGATAAGCACTGTGCAGAGCTTTACTAAACATTGGAAGCTTTATTATACAGACAACTTAGAACAACACAATGGATTCCTCTTTCACATGAACCCAAAGCCATTGAATAGGCAGCACTTAAATCGTAGGTATTCACACCAGGTCCAGTCTATGTCTAACCTGCATAGGGGTGACTGGGTCCTTCAGTTTTCAGTCCTAGAGCACCAGGGCACTGAGGATCCTGATGGTGCAGGGGCTCGGGAGGCACCAAGTGAGGAGGGTCAGGGGTGGTCTTGATGCAGCTACTCTGTGGTGATATTTGGGTGTTACTCTTCTCATTAGTTTCTGCTCAAAAAACAAAGAAAGGGTGAGTTAAAGTTTAGAAAAATAAGTAGAAGAATTGAATGTATGGAGAAGCGGTCAAGAGAGTGAGGTCACCAACATTCCAATAAACTGAAGGAGGCTTTCTAAAAGAATGTAGAAGCTTAAATGCTCAGACAGAAATGCAGGCTAATCTCAATCACAATCAGGAGAAACTGTTTAGAAATAAAAAAGAGTGACTGCAAAGCAAGCTCAGAGGCCAATAAGAAAACAGTAAGGGGAATCAATCACATACTCTTTATCATTGGGCTCCCTGAACATCTCTCTCAAGGTTGACCCAAACCCCAAATTCTGGGCACAGCCTCATCACCTTGTTCTGGGGAGAGGGAAAGAGCACTGACTGCATCCTCTAACGCCTGGATTTGCTGGAGCAACTTCTGACCCTTGTCTGGAAGAGCCTGGATGTTCACTGATGCTAGTATACTCTGAAAAACAAGTTGTTAGAAGGAGTTTTGTTATTGTTTTTTTTTTTTTTAAGGTGAATGGGGATGGTTTACTTCTCATGTCCAGGGTCAAGAGTATCACTGCCACTCCCTTTTCAGAACACCATCTTCTAATAAAGGGATCTGAGGTTGGACTGGGAGGGTGGGGGCACCAGAGGTGATTATGGGTGTGGGGGGAGGGTAGACAAATGGCAGAAACCCTTAAACTAAGAGAAGCATCCAAGGGATAGTTTTCAGATAAAAACACAGCAATACAACCCTTAATTTCTTTTCAGTTATGTTTGTGACTCCAGTTGTTTGGTTTTCTTCTCTTCAATTATTTAATGAGAAAAGAGTTTTGTTTTTTATTTAAAATTATTATTCTGTAATAGTTTTAATGACCCCAAACAGAGACTCCTACAATACTGGGCCATGGGTAGGAAGCAGGCAGGTGAAGAGGAGGGCATGGCTCTGGGCACACATTCTTGGGCTTTGCCCACTAAGCTGGTGATATCAGCTGCTGGCAGGGCTGGGCACACTCTGCTCCCTCACCTGTTCCTCTGGCCCCCACTCGTACTGCCAGCAACAATAGCAACAGAATCAGCAGCATCCTGTGACCACGACAACTAGAAGTGGATTCACACAGCACAACATCCAAATCACCTACTTTTAGAACATATGTGGATGTTAAGTGATGCATACTTGTATCCTACAATGCTTAAACCCAAAAATTATGTTTTTTAATGACGTTTGTATGTTAAAACATTAACAAACAAGAAAAAAAAAACCATTTCATTTCCCAATGCTGAGAATATAACCTTAAGAAAGGACAGAAACATCATCTTTTACGGGGCCCCATACCTGCCACAGCAAGCCAAGGTCTGCCCTTTAAAACAAAACGCATGTCAACCGTTACCTTCTTTTGTTTCAGCTGTGTTGTGAGATATACTCGCTGGCCTGCTGGGTCTGAAGACTCTGCCTTTTTGCAAACACCTGAGACAGGAGGGATCTTTCTGTGTTCATTTTGGGAAAATAGTTTAAGATTCTCCTTCTTCTGTGGTACCAAAGTCAGGCTAGGCAGGAGGTTCCCTGGCTCAGAGGAAACAAAAATAACATCCTCTTCTTCACTGTCACTGCTGCTGCTTGTGTCAGCCTCCTGTCCCTCTCCCCAGGAAAGGCCTGCTGCTGGTGCTGCAGGCTGGGCAGTCGCTTGTGATGCAGCAGGCACCTCAGGCCTCCCTGAGTGCCCTTGGACATTCCCATCAGACAGCTTCTTGTGGATGGTCTGCATGCGTGAGTCATCCTTCACTTTTGTGCTGCCAGCCTCGCAGGTCTTGGAGTGCTCCTTGCTGATGTGCCCTTCTTTCTGAAGCTTGCTAATTGGATTCTGAGTGTGAACATTTTCAGATAACAGTCTTGTTTCCTTTCCTTTCCGAGACTCTGGTTCTATTATGATGCTATGACTCTCCCCATTTGATTTGTCCTGAGAAGCAGCAGTTGGTTTCCTCAGTCCATCACTAAGGCAATGTCTAGGTCTAATTTCAGAGAGATTCCTTCTTTGCGTGTCTTCAGTCTCCACTGTTCGACCCCTGAACTCTGTTTTCTCCCCATGCTTCTTCTCTGGAACAGAAGATTGGTTTTTCTTGACCACAGTGCTGGACGTTTCGGGCTTCTGTTCCTTCTTTCCATCCAAGAGCTGATCTCCCTTTTCTCTTTGCTGCTTCTCTGCCATCCCTTCCTCACCATCACCTTTGATGAGCTGTCTCCAGAGAGAAGGTTGCTGATTCTTGTCAAGTACTTTAAATGGATTTCTCTGCTGAGCAGAAAGATGATGAAATGATTCAGAGGCATCCTGGGCCTTACTGGTTACAGAACGCTCTTTGGAATTAGGATCCTAAAAGGTCAAGAAAATAATGAACCTTAATATAAGACATTAATGCAACTTTTCTATCTAGAAAGTCTTTTTGAGACATAGTAAAAGCAGCCTAGTATTTCTTACCATGCCTAGAATAATATCTGCCCCTAGAAAAGACTATTCACTACACTTGCAAAGAATAGTTTCTAATAGTACTTCTAGTACTCTCTGTCAATGAAGATTGCTTTCCCAAGTCTTAAAGGAAGTGACCAAACAAAAAAGATAAAAGAATCTTTAGGATGCAAATCCTTGAGTGTTATCATAAAATGATAGCTAGCACATACTTTGCCTTGTCCTGCTAAATCAGGGTTTATCAATCTTAGCACTACTGATATGTCAGGCTGGATTAATTCTTTGATTTGGCGGGGCTGTCCTGATGGTTATTACTGTGTATACTGTCAAGAAGAAGATTGACAACTGACCTACCAGAAGGTTTTCGGAGGCAGTAAATCACATGAGAGGACACTGCCTCTCTTTCTCCTGTACAGCAGCTGGTGGATTAGAATTTTATGCCTTTTTGGCACTTCAACTCCTTATTACTAAGTAATCATCGCAGTGCAGTTCTTTAAGAATGTAGCTATTGTCCCCTCTTTTCTTAGTTTCCCCTCAAACCCCCCTTGTCAGTCCTGCTTTGAAACAGACGAGGGAAAGAACTGTATAAAAGGAATAGATGATTAAGTATTATTGGTATGACAAGAGTCCAGAATAAGAGCTGCATAGTGAAGTGGTCTGGAGGTGGGGTGGGGTGGGGTCGACTGTGTAACAATGAAAGAACTTTTTTCCCCCAAAGAAAAAAGCCAGTTGGGTGGGGAGGTTGAGCAGGGAGGAAAGTGTACAACAATGAATGAATGGAAATCCAAATTCTTTATAAACTTACAATATAATCTTTATTTTAAAAAAGTGAACTGGGGGAGGGAGAAAGGGGTAAAAATAAATATAAATATAAATAAATATATATATATATATACACACACACATATGACTCACAAAATCTTATATAATCTATGAAACAAGAGCCTTGTACTGGGCATCTGCAGGAACTGTCCAGGTTCTCACATTCTAAAAACTTATAATTCATATTCAATTTATACCAATATCAAACAGATGTCAATATATAAAAATGCTAAAGTTATTAAAATGTTTTCTTAACAGAACATTAACTGCATTTAAGACTTTGAAAAATACTATTTATGTAAGTAAAGTAGGAGGCAAATGACCAAATCTTGAAAATAACCAAATAGTACTTGGAACTAAAAAAAAGTCTCAAAAGGGCCTACCTGGATTAAAGAAAACAGCTGTCTTTTAGAGGTGGTTTGATGAAGACCAGTTTACTCTGGACTTCAAGGTCAAGGTCATTTCAAGTTATGCTGAAAGTTAAATAGTCATAATACAGATTTAGAAATAGAAGAATAACACATACCTGCCATGGAATACTTTCACACCATTGCTTCCCCTCTGCCTTACTTCTAGTGCATCGGAAGAATAATCTAATGGAGTAGAACACAAGTAATCAAGGCTGTGGCAGTCTAAAGAAACAATTTGTTTCTAATAGAAGTCATCTTGACATTGGCTTTGAAAGGTCATGTAATCAGACCATTTATTAGGGCAAAGAGGTGAAAGAGAACCTTTAGACTATGCAAAAACATTTGTGTGGATCATAACAAATTACAGCTGACACTAAGAAGAATGAAAATCCGAGAAAATCTGGTTGTGTTTAGGCTAAATCTATTCCTAGGCCAAGAAGCTATGTATGGTACCATCAGTGCAAGGGAACACGGCACGGTTTAAAATCAGGAAAGGTTTGTATCAAGGCTGTATCCTTTCTCCATACCTATTCAAACTGTATGCAGTACGAATCATTCAAAAAGGTGGACTATATGAAGAAAATTGTGGCATCAGGATTAGAGGAAGATTTATCAACCACCTGAATAATACAGATGACACAAATTGCTTCCTGAAAAAGACCTGAAACACTTGCTGAAAAGGATCAAAGACTATAGCCTCCAATATAGGCTACAACTTAGCATCGAGAAACCAAACATCCTCACCACCAGGCCAATAAGCAGCATCATGACGGAGAAGAGACAAAAATGGTCAATGACTTCATCTTAGTAGGATCTTCAGTAAATACCCTTGGAACAAGCAGCCAGAAATAAAAGATGCATTGACTGGAAAACACAGCTGTCAGAGATCTATCCAAAGTGCTGAAGAGTAAAGGGTCAGTTTGAAGAATAAAGTGTGCCCGATTCAAGACATGGTCGTTTCAATCACTTGTTAGCACTTGAAAGTTGGACAATGAAAAGGATGACAGAACAAGGATCAATGCCTTTGAGTCGCAGTGTTGGAAAAGAGGGCTAAATATCCCGTGGACTGCCAAAAGGACAAATAAGTATGTCTTAGAAAAGGTGCATCCAAGGTGCTCCTTGGGGACAAGAAACTTCGTCTAACATACTTTGGACATGTTGTTAGGAGGGACCAGTCCTTGAAAAAGGACATCAAACTCAGAAAGATCAGCAAAAGAAAGACCCTCAGTAAGATGGACTGCAACAGTGACTGGAAGGGTGAGCTCAAGTGTTTCTGAGATGAGGATGGCACAGGACAAGGCAGGGTTCAGACCTATTGTTCATAGGACTGCAATGAGTTGAAGTTTACTCAACAGCACTTAACAACAACAATAAGGTGGCATAAATGGTTAGCAATGCTTGGCTATTAAATGAAATGTGTACGGTTTGAGTCTCCCCAGAGGTACCATGAATAAAAGGTCTAGTGATTTCTTAAAAATCAACCACAGAAAATCGTACAGAGATTAGATAGCTCTACTCTGAATACAAAGGGGATAACCAGGAGTCAGATCTGCGCCTGGATAAGGGTCTTCCTCTCTTGAGCCATCCCTCCACCTTTCCAAGCATGATATCCCTATCCAAAGAGCAGTCTCTGCTAGCATCATGGACAAAGTATGTGAGATAAAGCTTCACCATCCTCACCGTTAAAGAGCAGTATAGCTGAATCTTCTCTAAGACTTATCTATTCTTTTGGTCATCTGTGGGATATTCAGTACTCCAACACCACTTCAAAGGCATACATTTTTCTTCTGTCATCCTTATTCACTGTCCAGCACTCAGATAAACAGCAAGTGATTGAAAAGATCATGGCCTGAATCAGGCATACCTTAGTCCTCAAACTAACATCATTGCTTCTCAATAATCTGAAGATGTTCCTGCCTGCAAACTTTCCCAGTGTATCTCCTGATATCCTGATTGCTGGTATGGATTGTGGATCCACGTAAGATGAAGTCATTTACAGTTTCAATCTTTTCTCTACCTATCAAGGTGTTGCCTACTGGTCCAGTGATGAGAATTTTTGCTTTCCTGATACTGAGATGCAATCCATATTGAAGGCTGCAGTGTTTGATCTTCTGCAGCAAGTGCTTCAAGTCCACCTCACTATCAGCAAGCAAGGTTTTGTTATCTGCATATCAAAGGTTCCTGATGAGTCTCCCTCCAACAGAAGTTCCTTGGGAGAAAGATGGGCAGTCTGCTACAATAAAGATTGCTTTGGAAAACCAATGGAGGGTGGCTATGAGTCAGAAAATCTTTAGAACAGTCGGTTTGGCTTCCTCTGACAGTAAATGTAATCCATTCAATCCAGCATCAAAGTTAGACACATTCATTTAGCCAGGCTGGGACTCTCTCAGGCTCTAGAACCCGCCTCTCCTCTGGTTTGAATCCTAGCCTTACCTCATGATTATCACTAAAAGATCAAGCACTTTACTTGACTGCCCTGTGTCAGTGTTCACTTCTATAAATTAGTAAAATTTGTAAGAGTACTTGGGGGTGAAAGACGATCCCTGATGATGTAGTGAGTTGCTACATCACTGGGCTGGCAACTGAAAGGTGAACAATTCAAACTAATCAGCTGCTCCATAAGAGGATGTAGGAATCTTGTAATGATTTATAGCCTCGGAAATCTCTGGGGCAGTTCTAGCCTGTCCTATCGGGTCACTGTAAGTTGGAATTGACTCACTGCCCTTGAGTTTTGTTTGACTAAAACCTTATATGCATATACTGCTGAAGAGCATTCAAAAGCCAGAAATTCAAGCAGGATTTACAAGAGGCCATGGCACCAGGGATATCATTGCTGATGTCAGATGCATCCCAGCTGAAAGTAAAGAATACCAGAAGAATGTCTATTTTTGCTTTAATGACTATTTTATGGACTAAAAATACTGTGTGATCATAACAAGTTGAGGTTGACATTAGGAATGGGAATCCCAGAGCACTTAATTGTGCTCATGAGGAACCTATACCTGGACCAGGAGGCTGTTGTGTGAACAGAGCAAGAGCTAAAACTGAGAAGGGAGTATATCTGGGTTGTATTCTCTCTCCACACCTATTCAAACTGTATGCTTAGCAAATTATCTGAGAAGCTAAACTCTATGAGGAGGAGAGGGACATCAGGGTAAGAGGGACTCATCAATAACCTACGTTATGCAGATGACACAACCTTGCTTCAAAGTGAGGAGGAATGCAGCCTTCAGTATGGACTGCATCTCAATGTCTAGAAAACAGATTCTTCCCACTGGACCGATAAGCAGTGTCATGATAGATGGAGAGAATACGGAAACTGTCAACAGCTTCATCTTGCTTGAACCCACAATTAACATCCTTGGTACCAGCAGTTGGAAAAGAAGGAAATACATTGCACTGGGGAAATCTGCAGTTAGGGACCTCTCCAAATTGTTGAGGAGTTAATGATGTCAGTTTAAGGACTAAGTTGCATCTGATTCAGGTCATGGTCTTCCCTATTACTTGCTATGCATCTGAGAGCTGGACAAGGAAAAGAATGACAGAAAAAGAATTGACGCCTTTGAGCTGTGGTACTGGAGAAGAGCACTGAACATCCCATGGAGGGCCAAGAGAACAGACAGACAGATTTATCTTGCAGAGAGTGCAACTGAAGTACTTTCTGGAGACAAGAATGATGAGCCTTCACCTCACATACTTTGGGCATGTTGCTAGATGGGACTATTCCTTGGAGAAAGACATGATGCTGGGAAAGGTGGAAGATGAGCGAAGGAGAGGAAGACCTTCAACTAGGTGGACTGACATGGTGACTGCTACAATAGGCTCTTATGTGTTAGGAAGTACAAGGATGACACAGCATAGAACAATGTTCAGATCTTTTGTTCACAGGGTTGCTGAGCGGGACTCAACTTGATGGCACCTAACAACAACAAAATATGGACACAGTAATGATTAAATGCATTAGTACACATAAAGACTCAGAAGAGCATGGTCCATATGAAAGACTTCATAAATATCAATTATCATTAGCTCACTGTTGTCAATCTCCTAGTTTGTTCATAAATTCACTGTTCTGTTTATGCATTTCTGTCCAGAATCTTGTTTTTTCCTCTACCCAATTTTTTTACAGAAAAGTTAATTTTCATTTACTCATTGTTGACAGTTTTTTTATACTAGTATATTTACAAAATTAAAATACATTAAAGAACAGAATCTTCCAATTTCCCTTAACCCCCACCCATCAAATTGTAGAACTCCATGATTTATCCCCTCTCCTCCTGCACATCCTCATCCCTCTGCTTCCATTTTTTTCCAGTCTTTTTAAATTAACGAGGGGAACTTTTGAAAGTTTGTGCTTTGTTCTATTGCTTTCTTACTTGCTAAAACTTTTCAAACAAACTTACTTTCATTTATTCTTTACTGAGTATTCCATTTGCTTTGTCAGCTTTACCATTTTACCTGCCTGTAAATAATCATTTAACAATCAGCAGGTTACTTCTGATTTCCTCCTTTCTTTTTTTTGCCCTTCTCCTCAGTTTCAGCAAGCAGGGTTGTGTCATCTGCATAACTCAGATTGCTGATAGCTCTTCCACCAATCTTGACCCCACATTTCTCCTCATAGAGCCCAGCTTCCCGGATAATCTGTTCTGCATACAGGTTGAAAAGGTATGGATAGGACGCATCCCTGGCGTATGCCCGTCCTAATTTTGAACCATGCAGTGTTCCCTTGCTCTGTTCTGACGACTGCCTCCTGGTCCAAGTATAGGTTTCGCATTATCACGATCAACTGTTCTGGAATTCCCATTCTTCTCAGAGTAAGCCACAGTTTGTTGTGATCCACACAGTCAAATGTCTTTGCATAGTCAATGAAACACAGATAGACATTCCTCTGGTATTTCCTGCTTTCAGCTAAGATCCATCTAACATCAGCTACAATATCTCTAGTACCATGACCTCTTCTAAAACCAGCCTGGACTTCTGGCAGTTCTCTGCTGATATGCTGTTCCAGTCGTTTTTGGATAATCTTCAGTAGAATCTTGATTGCATGTGGAATAAATGAGATTTTTCTAGTTTCCACACTCTGTTGGGTCACCCTGCTTTGGGATGGGAACAAATATAGATCTCTTCCAGTCAGCTGGCCAAGTGGTTGTTCTCCAGATTTCTTGGCACAACTTGGTGAGCAC